GGCAGGATTGGGGTCAGTGATGCACCTGTGAGAGCCCTGAAGACTATTATTCAGTGAACAGTGAAAAGAAGTGATCAGTGCAAAGGTCAGCTACAGCCAAAGCCATTGCACTGAAAGCCCTCTTCTCCACTACATATTTTTCACACAAACAACAAACTGTTGTCCCCACTGTTGGCCTTTGAGTTGTTAGTCAGCTGCTGACCTCATAATCTGCACAGCTGTGGCTTCCCCGCGTTGTCATGGAACAGATTGGAATGTCTTAATGGATCGCTTTCAGAGGTTACAGTTGTCAAGTGAGACCAGCCTGCTGATTCTTATTAGCTAAATTAAGCTGTGTTACAGCAGAACTGGCTAATTCATTATAATGGCTGGGAAATCCAATGCAAATTGCCACATTTTATAGAACACATCCAAGGCTTTGCTTTCTGATTTTTCCTTCTGTGAATGCTGTACCCCAAATATGGTTTTATTACCTACTTAAGGACATTTTTGGAATGGTCAGTGGAATGTAATCTTGCTGTGTTTATGCATGATGGTGGTGAGTCAGAGCAAGCCATGCAATGCATGGTTTCTAATAGGCACTGATGTGCATGGTTCAGATGAGCTTGGAGGACTCGCTTGTGGGTAATGGATGTTAAGCCCTACCCAAAATTACAAGAAGATTTCACTCTTCCGCATTGTCTGAAAGAGTGTAGGCTTCTAAATGACAAGGTGATGCATTAGACAATGCCTGACCCTAAGTCACTCCTTTGTGCCTTCATTAATAAAGTCTTGGTGATGGAACTGGCCTAGAAACCCTGGGTCCAAGTGTCTTAATAGACTTATCCACGTTGGGCAGACATCTTCTACCCTGGGGTCTGCTCTATTGGCTACTTACTGCAGTTGATCAAAGTGATATACAATTTCTTCATCACAGAGTTGTTTTTGTTTAATAGTGTCACAGGTAGCCCAGACTAACATCAAATTCTCTAGATCACTAAGGATGACCTTGAACTCATGATCCTCCTGCCTCTACTTCTCAAGCACATGGATTGCAGGCATCCATCACCATGCCTGTTGATCACAGGGGCATTTATTTAAGGGTTTGTTTATTTTTATTGTGTATGTGTATGTATGTATTTCAAGAGTATACTGTATGCATGCTGAGTGCTCACAGGCGAGGATCAGGTAGAGGATTCCCTAGAATCACAGATGGTTGTAAGTCACCATGTAGGTACTGGGTACCGAGTCACTGCTCTGTACAAGAGCAGGAAGTGCTTGGCACCATGGAGCCATTTCTCCAGCCCTGATTGCAGTGATCTGGGCATGTCACAGATGGGCCTGTGTGGGTCCAGTAGGTTGTGCTTTCTCTAACTCTTAGTATTGACCACTCACACAGACGCTTTGCCTGATGTGTACATGTTACAGGAGTAAAGAGAAAAGAAAGCAAAAAAGGTTAAGCCAACACCATAAGTGTTGGCTGCAGAATACTCCAGAAAGTACCATGACATTTATCCAAGTATTTTTATAGTAGAAAATAAATCAGATAATAGCTGGATGCCCAGCAGTAGGAAAATAGATACATTATGGCATATCTATATAATTGAACAATAAACAGGCATTAAAATTTTCTCCAATGATTATTTACTGATATGGGAAGGATCAACACAAAATTAAAAGAAAAACCAAAGGCACTCAACTGTGTAATTGGCATCCCTCAACCTGCCTACAATAGCCTAGGTAGAAAGAGGAAAATATTTGTCACCATTGTTGAGTGATGGATATATGAATAACTTTAGTGATATATTCTTTTTTACCTTTGCAAGTTCTTCATAGTGAGCCCATGTTACTTTTACACTCAGAGCCAGACAAACAATTAAACAGTTTGAGTAGATTTGATATGAGATGTATTGAAGTAGTCTTTTCTCCAGGCATCTCCCACCTGCCTACTCTGGAAACAAGCTGCTGGTTTTCCTCCTGGTTTTATTTCCAAACACCTTCCTTTCATCTTAGTTCAAGGCTGCTGTAGTCTCGCATGGCTGTGGCAGAAAGCCTGTCATTACTATTGACTCCTCTCCCTTTCATGTCTGCCTTCCCATGTTCCATGTCTGGACCAATCCGGAATATACCCAGAGGTTGTCAGCATCTCGCCCTCATCATCACTCTGGGTGTCCTCCCATCAATTCCTCTTTTGGGGTGGGAGCAGTGGCTTGCTCTCCCTGTTTCAACCCTTTTTTCTTGTGGTCCCACTTTCCACGTAGCAGCCAACATTGTTAAAACACAGCTCAGGTCATGTGCTCCCTTGTCAAAGCTCTCCATTGCACAGGAAGTCATAGGACCCATGATTCATGGCCGCCACCTTTCTGACCCAATACCTACCCACTGTGCGCATGGCTCTCTAGAGCACATTCTTCTTCCTCACCGTCTTCTGCCTCAGACTAGTTGCAGTGGCTTTCGCTTGGGTACCCCATGGCCAGCCCTTGACTGCACTCACTCCTCTCCCCGCAGTGCCTCCTGGTGGCTCTCCACTGCCCCCAGCTGTGCCCACACAGACACACATGCACTGGTACACCTCCACATGTATGAATCTCCACAATGTATACACTTCCCTGTTATGAACCGATCACCTTTGAATGTGTTATACAGGATGCTGATACATGATGTGTTCGTGTACAGAAGCACAACTTCAGTGTAAGTTTCATGCCGTCAGGAATTCTTGTGTGTAAGTTCTTGGCTCAGTTGTACCTCTTGGAGCTGTCTCTGCTGTAGGGGGGCACCCAGAAACTGCTGCAGGGAGCACCATCGACAGCAAAGGTGACCAGCTGCAGCTGGGCGGTCAGTGTCCAGGTGGTTTGCTGAGCTGTGTTACCGAGCGTTTTTCTAGATTGCCACAGCTCGACTGAGCCTGCTGATTAGCTGATGTGTTTTCTCTTGATTGCTTTTTTCTTTCCCTCTAAAATGGTTCTAAACTAATTGGGAAACTCCATTTCTTCCCTAGTATTTAGCTCAGTGTTCAGATATTTTTTAATTAGTTCTTAGAGAGAGTCATACCTGTTTTGACTGTATTCTTCCTAGGTCCACTCCTCTTCTTTCCCACTCCTAGCAACAGAGCTATCAACAGTTGTTAGTTGCTAGGGAGAGAAAGACAATTTTCTCTAAGAATGTAGACTGGTAAGTCAAGTGGAAGACCACACATCTGAGAATATTTAGGTCCCATAAACTTGTCTTGAAATATTAAAAAAAGATAAAAAGACATAAAGTGTTCAGACTCTTAATAGATTATTTTAAATCCATTTCTTTCATTTCCTAATTTAACAAATTGAACAACCAATCTATCCCAGGGACCTCTGTTGAAGTCAGAGGCAAAAGCATTATTCTTACAAGACTTCACTGTCTAGATGGCAGATTTGGCAGGAGGAAAGTTAGGACAGGACCCTGTTTGAGAGAAGCTATTCTTCAGTAGGCACAAAATACATTTGGGTTCAAATTCAGGATCAAAAGGTGCAGCCTTATAAGAGGGGGATGAGAAAGGTGCACATTGCCAAAATGTTTTTCTTTTGCTGTTTTGCAGATCGAGTAATTTCTTCCTGTGAGAAAGAAAGCAACCAGGCGATAGTGGTGCAAACCTTTAATCCCAGCAGAGGCAGGCAGATCTCTGTGAGTTCGAGGCCAGCCTGGGCTACAGAGTGAGTGCCAGGACAGGCACCAAAGCTACACAGAGAAACCCTGTCTTGAAAAACCAGAAAAGTGAAAGAAATGGCAAAAGTAATGTGTGTGATTATTTTATTTTATGGTTTTTTGAGACAGGGTTTCTCTGTGTAGCTTCAGAGCCTGTCCTGGAACTCACTCTATAGCCCAGGCTGGCTTCAAACTGCCTCCCAAGTGCTGAGATTAAAAGCATGCGTCCCCATGGTTATTTTATTATTTAGAAAACAGAATAATGCAAAGAGCAGGGAGCCCTGCATGTGAGTTAGAAGATGCAGACTTAGTGGGCCTGAGAGATGGCTTAGAGGTTAAGAACATGTACTGCTCTTGCAGAAGACCTTAGTCTGATTCCCAGCATCCATGTCAGGTGGTTCACGGTGGCCTGTGGTTCTATCTTAGAGGATCTGATTCCCTTTCTTGGTCTCCATAGGTGTTTGTGTGAATATGCTCGCACAGAGAGAGACACACAAATATGCACACATAAATAATAAAATAAATGTAAAGTCAAGGAGATCCAGACTTTGAAGATACAGGCTTAGAAGTTCTAATTTAGAGGGTCTGGATTTAGAAGGTGTGGGCTTGGCTCCTTCACTGGAATTTGTATTAACTACAAGCCGTGAACATCAGTGTTTTGCTTCTGAGTCTTGTTAGTTCCACTGGGGAGCTTTTGAGGCTTTCAAGACGTGTGCATTCCTCTCCATGTTCTCAAGAAAGGCCCTTCCTTGTCCACCTAAAACCAATTTAAGCTCAAAGGACCATTAATACAACAATTTGAGGATCTTTAAACATCTCTGTAATATTTTTGCTGTCTTAAGGGGGTCTGGGTTGTGTATGTCTCCTTCAGGCCTGCCTCATCTTCTGTCTTCTTCACACGTTTATCCACTGCCACCTGCCCATGCACACATGTCACCTGCCCATGCACACATGCCACTGGAGCATGACACACATGCAGGAAATGTGGCGCTTGAGTTTCTTTCATAGCCACCATCCTAACTGTAGAAATCAAATAGTTTCATATTTTCTTACTTCATTTGAAATTACAGGTCTATACTTATAAAACTCATCATTTAGAGTGAAAACGAATGACTGTTTTTCCACATAATTTAAACTAGCATGGGGATGCAGAAAGTAATCATTTTTCAACAGTATATATTTATTTTTCTAATGAAAGTCCACTGGCAACTTGCTAACCTGTAGCAGAGACTGCAGGATAGATGTGTCTCAGAGATAATTCCGTACACAGTAATTATGCAGTAAGCGGCACTTTGGTCGCTGAGACCTCTTTTGACCACGGTCTTCCCTCTCTTCTCTTGCAGCCTCTGCAGCTGGACTGTGGCCATTGTGCCATTGTGTCAAACTCGGGTCAGATGGTTGGACAGAAGGCGGGAGAGGAGATAGACCAGTCCTCCTGCATTTGGAGAATGAACAACGCCCCCACCAAGGGTTTTGAGGAAGATGTGGGCCACGTGACGATGGTTCGAGTTGTGTCACATACCAGTGTTCCTCTTTTGCTAAAAAACCCTGACTATTTTTTCAAGGAGGCAAGTGCTACCATTTATGTTATTTGGGGCCCTTTCCGAAACATGAGGAAGGATGGAAATGGCATTGTGTACAACATGTTAAAAAAGACCGTTGATAACTATCCAAATGCACAGATTTATGTGACCACAGAGCAGCGGATGAGTTACTGCGATGGAGTTTTTAAGGAGGAAACTGGGAAAGACAGGTGAGTCCTCTCTGAAAGAGCCTCGTTGACTTTTTTTGTCTTGTACGGTGACTCTTTGCTGAGTCCCTTTGCCAGCTATCAAATGAACAGAGTTATTTTTTAAACCAATTGCTACGTGGTTTTGATTATTATGATTACTGCATGATCTGACAATGAGGTCCCATTAATTCCGCCCACACTGCCTTCTGTTCACTCCGTTTTAACAGGTTTGAAGCTCTGAAAATGGTGGATAGTTCTCCAAAATGTCTTTAGATCTCTTCCTATGTAGCTCAATTTGTTATTGATTAAATTGGATTTTTGGCTAAAAGAGGACATCTTCACATTCTGTTTCAAAACACAAATACTCAGGAATTTCAGGATTTTAATCCATCTTAACTGGGAATTGTGGCTCCTTCCACCTCCTTGAAACCAGACAGAGAGTAGACTATTGATCCATTAATATGACTGTGCAGATTCCTGCATAGTAATAGCCCTGTGATCTTGAACACTACACTGAATAAAATACCATATTGACATTATGTATTCCTTAAAATCATTAGCACTTGGATTCTTAAAGAGAAATGAAGTATAAATATCCTTTGCTCAATTATTCAAAACCATCCTACATTTTGGTTGCATGCACTTCTCTGCCCCATTCCATCAATCACTGTCCCCACCTTCTCTGCTCCAGGCTCCTTCTCCTCTTCCTCATCTTCTGCTTCCTCTCCTGGCTCCCTCATGGCCCTCACTTCTCAGGCAACTCTACCATCTGCTGGTTTTCCTGCCTCTTCAGAAAGAACCAGAAAAGTGAGGGAAGCAAAATTACAAACCGATCAATCTTGGCTGATATTCAGCACTAATAAAGAATTGCTGAAGAAGATTCAGAAACCTGTGCCTGAAGTTTTAGATTATATGTGAATTTTGCTTATTTGTGCAATACTATGAATAAATTGAGCTTTGACTGTAATTGCAGTGCTAACATTCCGATTTCCTTAAAATGCATGCCGTCTTTTACTGCTCAATATTATCGAATAGAAAGTTGTAACTATTGGGCAACTGGTTGTGGAGAGTTGGGATTTGCTATTTCCAGGTGTAATTTCCATGTTTATCACACATTGACAATCTTGGCAGGGGACTTTTTGTGGTCTGTTTTTTCAGCTCACTGTCCCCTACGTGCACCCCCAAGAATGCCTTTTTTAGGTTCTTAATAAACGACATATATTGTATTTTATCACATACATGCATGGACACACACATGCACATATACATATGCACACACACAGACACATATACATACACACAGTCATATGCACGCGCACACACACACACGTACACACTCAGGTAGACCAATGGACCTATTGATAGTGTGAACTGATTTTCACTTAGCATTTCTACTTCTGAGCCCCTAAAACAGTTTCACCTGAAATGCAAGACAGAACAACACTTTAACATGAGTCCCTCTTATGCAGGAAGAACCTCAAAGGTTAGATCCAAACCGGTATAGCATAAGCCATCCAAGCAGACAGGCAGATCTTGTGTTTGCAGGAACTGCACTCACCTGTAGCTCCGTTCTGTATGAATATGACCATTCTCCTGGGGCTCAGAAACCTCTGGTCTCTTACTAGCCCCGAGCAATGCAATTAATTCGATGTATTTGGTTTTTCATTAGAGCTATCCCTTAGGGTACCCCTCAGTTACAATGATAAGCCTGAGGATCATTTGGGGGTATCAGAGAAGAGCTTAGTGTGGTATTTGTTCCTGGTGCTTGAATCACGTTGGCTTTTTCCTGTGAGCTTTCATTGAAACAGCTCTGTCACATAAGCATGGCTGTAGAATGATTAGAGAATAGCATTGGGAGGTTGTTTTTTGTGTCTGTGATGAGTAAAGCTGCTTATAGTGTGTCGGTTTTGCTGTCTTGGTAAAGTTAGTTTTCAGATATCTATCAATGGGGTTACCAAAGCTAAAGTTCTTTCAGAGGTCAAAAGATTTGGTGGTACACGTTTGCTTCTTTTGTTTTCTTTTTCCATGGTTACGCCTTCCCACTGTTATTTCACTGTGTGGCAGACTGGAGAATTAAAGTCTCTAAGTTCTTTAGAACTCAGTAGAAGGGATGACAAGTAGAATTTGGCTGGTCAGCATGCTGTTGACAAAAATGACCTCAAAGGCTTCCGTCTCCATTATGATTTAAATCCAGCCCTGCTTGTGCTGAATATAATGATTTTCCATGGTTCTCTGGCACACGATGACCAACTTCAGACAATGTCTCTGAGTACGTAGATGTTTGTTGTATACACATGTGTACACACCTGGAAACTGGAAGCAGCGGTCTGGCATTTTCCTCTGTCACTCTCCACCTTACTGTTCGAGACAGGATCTCTCATTGAGCCTGAAGCCTCCCATGGCAGCCAAGCTGACTGGACAGTGAGCTGCCAGTTCTGGACGGATGGACACTCAGGGCTCTGACAGGCTTCACACATGTTTTGGAGATTTAAACTGAGTTTGGTTTTGCATCAAAGGTTCATACACATTGAGCTGTATTCACAGCCTCAACAATATCTTCAAAAAACTTGTTATAAGGGAAATGTCAAACTCACACAGCAGAGCCTGCTAGTCTCATTGTCTCTGTAAAGCCAGCCCTCAGCTTGAGGATTTACTAACTCGTGACCAGTCTTAGTTCAATGGTATCCCACACACTTTTTCCTTCCCCAAGCTGCTGTGGGATGTTCTGTATGTCCTGTGGCAGCCTGTTCTTGGGTTCCTCATGGCTTTACCCAGCAGGTCCGCATAGAGGATGATTAGGACCATGGGCCTGAGTGCAGGTGTCTGAGATGGTCTGCACTTGGCTGTGCTGGGGGAGGGTCTGTATGTCAATTCGCTCTGATTGGTCAATAAATAAAACCTGATTGGCCGTGGCTAGGCAGGAAATATAAGCGGGACTAACAGAGAGGAGAAAAGAAAGAACAGGAAGGCAGAAGGAGTCACTGCCAGCCGCCACCCTGACAAGCAGCATGAAAAGATGCTGGTAAGCCACAAGCCATGTGGCAGGGTATAGATTTGTGGAAATGGATTAATTTAAGCTATAAGAACAGATAACAAGAAGCCTGCCATGGCCATACAGTTTGTAAGCAATATAAGTCTCTGTGTTTACTTGGTTGGGTCTGAGCAGCTGTGGGACTGGCGGGTGACAAAGATTTGCCCTGACTGTGGGCAAGGCAGGAAACCTCTAGCTACACCAAACATTATTTTGAATTGCTGAGCTACAGACATCATTGTAGTCCATCTTTAAATAGTTTACTGTGTATTTTAAAAGACAAAAGAAAAGCTCTACATCTTACATGGAAATACAAACACTTCCTTTATACCATTTTATGTTTCCCTGGCTTGCAATGGTCAACAGTTGTCTTGTACATATATTTTCAGTATTAGTTTGAATCAGGATTAACATATGGTCGATGCATTATAATTGAGTGATGTATTTCCTGTGTGTGTACTTACCCATATTGCTGTTTGCCTACACCACTTATGACTAAAGAAACCTAGCCACTGGGTTTTCTAGCATGTAGTTAGTTTTATTAACTTCTCATATTATTTCTTCTACGTTTGTTTTTATGTATTGAGATTGACTGGATTCAGATCCAATTAGTATTTATTTCTTTGCCAAGAGCATCCTGTGATACTTGTAAAGGAAGAATATCCTGTGATTGTCTCTTTTTTTATGGTAGAAACCACTAATGTTAACTGTCTGGAGGCAAGTATTTATTAGGGTTGCTCAAAGGTAGGGTTTTATCTTATCTTTTGACTGCTGGTCTACTCTGTAGAGAGGGCCTTGCCCTGCTTTGGTTACCATGAGAAAGAAGACTGACTGGTTCTGATGTGTTAGTTTCTTGGCATCCTCTGGACTGACCTGCGTGTTCATAACTTCTAATATTTACATACTGACTAACGGTTAAGTATATCTGTATTTTTGTAGTTCAATTTATTTTAAAGCACAATGTATGCTCTGAATGTGTTTTTTAGCCCATGGGAACCTCTTCAAATTGGTTTTACATGCGTTTGATGTTCAGAAGAGGTCATGGATAGCTTCCCTCCTTCCTTGTATTGTAGGTACTTTTATTTATTTATTTACTTATTTTTCATTTTTTTATTTTATAATTTAATTTTACATATTAGCCACAGATTCCTGTGTCCTCCTCCTGCCCCCAGCCCCGCCTTCCCCCAAGTCCACCCCCCATTCCCATCTCCTCCAGGGCAAAGACTCCCTTGGGGATTAAGTTCAACCTGGTTAGAGTCAGTGCAGGCAGGTCCAGTCCCCTCCTCCCAGGCTGAGCAAAGTGTCCCTACATAAGCCCCAGGTTCCAAACAGCCAGCTCATGCACTGAGGACAGGTCCCAGTCCCACTGCCTGGATGCCTCCCAAACAGTTCAAGCTAATCAACTGTCTCACTTATCCAGAGGGCCTGATCCAGTTGGGGGCTCCTCAGCTATTGGTTCATAGTTCATGTGTTTACATTCGTTTGGAATTTTTGTTGTCGAGATTTCTAGCATGACAATTAAGGTGTTTCGCCATCCTATCACCAGAGTAGGTCAGTTCAGGCTTTCTCTTACCCATTGCCAGTAGTCTATTGTGGAGGTATTTTTGTGGATTTCTGTGGACCTCTCTAGCACTTTGATTCTTCCTATTCTCATGTGGTCTTCATTTATCATGCTCTCTTATTTCTTGTTCTCCCTCTCTGTTCTTGATCCAGCTGGGATCTCCCACTCTCACAGGCTCTCTTTCCCTCGACCCTCGCCCTTCATTACCCCCCTCACGTCCAGGTTGTTCATGTAGATCTTATCTATTTCTCTGTCATTGGATGATCCCTGTGTCTTTCTTGAAGTTCTGTTTTCTAGGTAGCCTCCCTGGTGATGTGAGTAGCAGTCTAGTCATCTTTGTTTCACATCTAGTATCCTCCTATGAGTGAGTACATATCATGTTTGTCTTTCTGAATCTGGGTTACCTTACTCAGGATGACTTTTTTCTAG